GCCGAAGAACACGCTCACATCACACAAGCGTCGCAAACACCAACAGCAGTAAGTAGCCCGCATTGCTGCTGCATCCGGGCGCAACGTCGAATGCCAGGGGCCTAAAAAGCGTCTAGACAGCGCACAGAAACACCGCCCAAGGAAATAGGAGCTCCGACCCAGAGGAAAACAACGATTGGCTGCTTCTACCGTTGGAAGACGACAAGCCATACCACCACGGAGCCCACGCCATGGCACGCGATGGCACACGATGGCAACCAATCCCAACGAACGAACAAGCCTCGCCAACACCTCTCCATCCTTGCACCTGGGAGGAGAAGTCCAGCGTCCTCCCGCCAGACATCATCGTGAGCTCGCCGCGCCCCACCGCCTCGCCTCTCCATACCTCCGCCGCCGCCACATCTCCCGCCCGCCCAACCACAGTTGCTCCCCCCGCCAAGGACGAGCCCCCGACATCCGCCGCCCTCGAAGGCCAACCGCCATCAGCTTCGCTCCCCGTACCTGCCTCCCGCTCCTTTTCGTCGTAGACGCTGCTTGCCCTACTGGTGCGGTGACCGATGACCTCAAGGCCCGAGGTCTGCTCCGAGGGGGGGGGCGATCCCACCGCGGAGCCCCTCCTCCGCCACGCTTCCTGGCGAGTGCCTTCTTTCCTGTCGTCCCCCTGCTTTCCCGCAGCGAACGGCACAACAGCAGCGGCTTCACCACCACCACCGACCGTATCGAGATCGCCTCCCGGGAGTCTGCCCGCCCCGGCTCTTCTACCGCCACCGGGCGATCCTTCTCCTCCCCGGCCCGCTGCTGCCGTGTCCACCGACGACGATGACGGCCGGCGCCGTCGCCGCTCCTCACCCCCCACTCCTCCCCCACCCCGAGGATAACCTTCCGCCGCACGACCGCGGGGGGGCTCGCTCCCACCACGGCCGCGGGCAACGGCACTCCCCCCTTGACGCCGGTCACTGCCGGCGCCGCCGCCTGCCCTACTGCCGGCGCCTCGAGCAGACGCTCGTCTGCCCCGTGGATGTGAATGCGGCGGCGGGGGCGCGCCGCTAAACGCATCATCATCCGCCGTTCCCAAGAACGCCGACCGCGGCGGCCATGGAAACCTGTCCTGGTACTCCGAATGAATCGGGCCCCTCGACAGACGCCTCGACCACTGGGCCTTCCACGCGTCCGCATCTTCCTCCTTCTCCTCCGCCCACCATGCCCGACCACCGTCGTCCATGCCGAGGTCTTCGGACAACCGGCCTCCCTCTATCCGCGGTCCACCAGCAGCGGGAGCGGGGCTCGACGCGAATTCTGCAGACGAGAGATATTTTCTCGCGCCACCGCCGCCAACCCCCCCCCCCCC